AAAAAAAAAAAAAACAAAGAAGTCTTTGAGAATATATAAAATTCATACCAGAACTCATGCCTGACGTGCCAAAAGCATTGGTCCCGACGGTAGAATAGGTGGATCCGCTGGTGGTGAAACTGCTCTGTACGTTGGAGAAGGGCAGGGCAGTCTGAGGCACACTGGTAAGTGCACCGAGAGTGGAATGAAAGGACGTTGTCGAATAGGGTGGCAACGAGGATAACGTAGTTTGTGGAATGCTTGTTTGCGGAGCGGAGAAATTGGTATGCGACAGCTGTCCAGTGCTAAAGCTACTCGCCCCTGTACTATAGGTTCCGTTTGGATGCGACGTAATGGACAAACTTGGATATGTTGTTGCCTATGTACATACAAATCGGTGTTAATTTACAAAAAGCCTTCACAATTATATTAGGGGTGGCCATGAGTAATCAATTAATTTGACATTTAAAACAAAATAACATCAAGTTCTTAGTTTTTAATCTACTATGTAATCTCCATCATTGTCAACAGTTTGCCATCTTTCCTGCAAATTTTCAATTCCCTTTTTATAGAAACCTAGAGTCCCTGGAGATAAATTGTGCCCCTCTTACATCTTCTTACATCTACAGAAATGAATGTTTTATTTCTTAAAGAATGCTCCAAAGATCTGATTTTTTCCTAAGTGAGTTTCGCTGCATGGGGTCGGGCATTCATGTAGTATTACACAATAGTTGCAACATTACATCTCTTCTGTGAACTAGAGATGCCCTCTTTTTCAATAGTTCTGAGTGCAGCCTTTGTAATTGTTGACATATACAACTCGGCAGTAACTGTCTCTCCAGGTTTCAACAACTCAAAGTGGATTATGCCTCTACAGTCCCACCAAATACACAGTAACAGCTTTCTCAGTGATAAGCTTAGGGGTTGGTACTGGTATTTGATTTGCTTCGAACGCTTTATGCTATTACAAAAGACCATTTTTCATCTCTAACGATTCTGCTGAAGAAATGGATCTCTACGAAATCTGGATGAAGTGCAAATTGTTCATCGAAGATCCTTGTTCAGATAATTGATGCGGTGCACATGTTCCTTGTCTATGTTTCGTGCCTTTGAACCCAAGATTATAATTCTTCTATACTTAATCTCGGATCAGATTCCACTAGAGATTTCAGATCACATGATTCAGATTCCATTCCTGAACCAACTCTTATTGGCCTTCGATACATCTCTATAAATATCGCCAAAAGAAAATGTATACTTCTCAGAATATTTAAGAAAAAACAGGCTGCTTTACTGAAAACTAAATGCAAAGAAATTCTTGTCAAATAACTGATTACTGATGGGTGCCCCCCCTAATATTTACAATGTAATGCAACATGTCAAATGTCTATATACAATATGAATCTGCTCGTACCTGCTGACTTCCGTTCAATTGGAAATTCTGGGCGGTCTGCGTGTGCTGCGAGTAATGAGGTATTATGCTTTGGCTCGATGACGTCAGGTACGTTGTAGAGGCCGGATGTTGCGACTGTGGTTGTTGTTGTTGTTGCTGCTGGAGCGGCTGTTGATAGGTCTGCGTATGCGGATAAGTCTCCTGATACTGACTGCTCGTGAAATGGCTGTGCGTTTGTTGTTGCTTCTGCTGTTGTTTCTGCAGCAGGCTTTGAGAGTGAGAGCTCAGTAGCTCGGTGTGTGTCGGCTGCGGTTGTTGATACTGTTGCATCTTCTGTTGGAAAACTGGTTGAGACTGACTGGTGGAGAGCGACGGTGCCGGTGGAATCGGCTCGCTGTAGTGATACGGTGGTCCGTTTGGGGTCAGCGGTGGACAGCCGGGCATCATCGGTGTCAAGGGCATCGGTGAGCCTGCATACTGTTTCAAACTCTCGGTAGATGCATGGGGCAAGTGACAAGCTTTGCACCAGTGGAAAAATAACAACCAAAGGTATATACAAAACGGTGATTTACATACGTAACTCATCTGCGTTGGCATTCTCAGGCTGAGAGCGTGCGGATGAGGCGGATGTTGATGCTGGCTGAGATTAGGCAGGTTCTCCGAGCTAGATCGCAAAATACCCTGTGTGACTGAGGGTTGTTGCGTGGTGATGGTTCCTCGAGCATGATCCAAATCGTGTACCATTCTACTAGCGCTGTATGTTGATAAAAATTAGATAAGATTAATCTATATAATATATATAATCTATATATATATAGATTATATATATAGATTATAGATTATATATTATAATAGATTATAATAGATTATATATATTAGGTTATAATAAATTAATAATATATATTAGATTATAATAGATTATATATATATATATTAGACTATAGATTATATATATAGATATATAGATTATATATATATTATATAGATTATAAAGATTATATATAGATTATATTATAATATTATATAGATTATATATATATAATCTATATAATATATAAATATATAATCTAAAAATATATATATTCTATATAATATAAATATATATATAATCTATGTAATATAATATAATCTATATATATATAATATATATATAATATATATAATATATATATAATTTATATATATGTGTGTGTGATGGGCAAAAAGAGGTACGTATCGATCGTTTAGAAGTGAAATATTAAAGCAGCAGTTTCGAAACAGAAAAGGTACCTACACACACCTATTATCCTGTTCTATTTTCGCTATTATTCTGTCGATTTCAGAACCAGTTGGAGGCCAAGTAGTGGGAATGACGGAATGGCCTACCATCGGCCCTCTGCTTCGCGCACGTCTCAGGCTTGTTAACTCTAAGGACAATTCTTCGTGCCTGACCATTTGTAGCTCCGTCTTTTTCTCGAGTTCCCTTATCTTCGACTGCAGTGCCTCGACCGACTCCGGCCCTTGATACCGTCCTGCTATCTTTTCGCGTAGCTGGTTCTGTGCCTCTGCATGCTGGTGCTCCAGTTCCGCTTTCCGAGCCTCCGTTTCACGCATTTGCTGCCAACATCGTTCAGAATAATAAGAATAATTTTCGTTGGCAAAAACTTTGTTTATTCGCTC